CCCTCCTAGGCTCACCCAGGCTGCTCAGCAGCAGAGCCTCAGGCACTCAGTTCTCAGCCAAGGCCCTCACCTTCCCTGATCAGCAAATGTGTTTAAACCGGGTGTGGCGGCGCACGCCCGTAATCCCAGCACTCAGGAGGCTGAAGCAGAAGGATGGCATGAGTTCAAGGCCAGCCTGCACTACAGAGTGAGAGCCTGTCTCAAAACAGCAACAACAAAATGCATTTAAGGAATTGGTCACGCGCCAGTTGCCCAGTAAAGTCCACAGAGGCTCACCAGTAGATCTTCCCTGCCACAGGCAGACTTCCAGGTCCTTGTAGCCAGTCCAAGGGCCCCATGTTAAGGAATCTTATCTGGAAAGAATTTCTTCCCTGCAGCCCTCATGCTCTTACATCTCCTTAACCTTTACATCCTGGCCCCTTCCTTACCCCTCACCATCATCAGGGCCTGGGTCACACAGGAAGCTAAGGAAATCCCAATTTCCTTATACATAAGAATGTACCAGATGATGCTGTAAGTGAACGATGGTTATTAATGCATTTATCCCTCAGCAACCCACCGTGGTTGGGACAATAAGAATCATACCCATTTTACAGAAGAAAAAACACAGCAGAAAGAAGTCAGGAACTTTCCAAAGGGGAGCTGCTGCCCTCTCTCCACAGCAGCAGGTTCGCCATCTCTAATGCAATGCAGTCTTCCCAGGGTGGAGCCAGTGTGGAATAGTCTGGACCTGAGAGGCACAGAAGGAAATGAACCCTACGACTTGAAGGTGAGCTGCACCAGGCAAGCGGTGCTGAGCAACTTCTGAAGACCCCTGTCGTGCAGGCCATTTCTACTGCCTTGAACACAGCCCCCAGAATGTTCTCACCCCAGTCCTTATTCTGTATAGCAACTGCCAGGCTATAGGCCTCTTTCTTCTAGACCGGAAATGGGCAGGGATTGTGTATGGCTTTTACTGTTTTTTGAAAAACAAGCCAGGCATACAAAAAAAAAAAAAAAAAAAAAGCTGGGCATGGGGACACACACCTGTAACCCCAGCACTTGGGAGGCTGAGGCGGGAGGATCACTGTGAGTTCGAGACCAGACTGGGCTACATAGTGAGTTCCAGGTCAGCCTCAACTACATAGTGAGACCCTGTCTCAAAACAAAACAAAACAAAACAACAACAACAACAACAACAACAACAAAAAAGAAAAAGCCAGGTGTGGTGGCACATGCTTGTAATCCTGGCAATCAGGAGGCTGAGGCAGGAGGCTTGCTGTGAGTTTGAGGACAGCCTGGGCTATATAGGGAGTTCAAGACCAGGCCGAACTACATAGTGAGACCCTGTCTCAGGAAACCAAACAACAATAGTCTTGTTTTAAAACTGACCTACAGATGTTCTTCAACTTCCAATAGGACTATAAACATATTGTGATTTAAAGATATTATAAGCCAAAACTTCACTTAATACACATAACCGACCCAACAGTGTATCTAAGCCTCTCCTACCTTGACCATGCTCAGAACATTTATGTTAGCCTACGGTTGGGTAAAATTACCTTACACAAAGCCTATTTGATCATAAAATGCCAACTTCTTGCAATTTATCATATACCATGCTGAAGGAAAGAACAGGATGGGTGGGTGGGTATGTTTTTGCATCGCAGTAAGTCCATGGTTAAACCATAGAGAAGACGGAGATGGTCTGTATGAGATACCTTCAGTACAGTGCACCAATCTTAAGCATGTTCAGTGAAGTTTTACACATGGAACCACCATGTGTGGTACCAGCCCCGCAGCCACCACTCAAATCAAGACATAAACCTGTCTAGCATCCAAAAGTTTCCCTTGTTCTCCTCCTGGTTCTTGCCCTCACTCCACAGGTGACTACTGTTCTCACTACTGATTGCCATATTCTTCCTTTTTAACTCCTGCAGAATGTGCTCTATCACCCAGATAAAACCCCCAACCCACCCTTAACTTTAAGGGAAATTTCAAAAATATACGTTTTGGGCTTTTTGTCCTTAATGTTATGTTCAAGAGATTCGTTTCTGTTGCTGCATGTTTCGGTGGTTTGTGTTTCTTTTAACTGTTGTACATTATTCCTTTGGTGGATCTCTTTTGGAGACAGGGTCTCACTATGTAGTTTAGGGTGACCTTAGATTCACTACGTAGTCTGTTCTTCCTGCCTCAGCCTCTCGAGTGCTGGAATTACAGGCATATGCCACCATGCCTGGCTACATAGTAAAATGTATTCATCCATTTTATTGTCCCTGAAATTGTCAGCTAGGACGTGAAGCATCTGGAACTCTCATGCTTTGCTGATGGGAGTATATGTTGCAACAACTGCTAAAGAAAACTGTCTGATCTACCATCCTTACAGTAACTCATTTATTGTGCATCAGATACCATCTTGATTCATTTGTATCCTCTCACTTAATCCTCCCAATAGTTCCAGGAGTAGATCTTTGGTATCTGCGAAATAAAAGAATTGGGCATCAACATGATAGGATTACTGTGAAGTTGAACTGAGATGACACCAGGAAAGGCTTAACCCCAAGAGCCATTTTGGAAATGCTATCACACAGTATTACTAACCAGCATTGAGTTAGGCAACCAGGTTTTGTGGCTCAGTGCTGAACAAATCATCTCAATGGATTGGCCTCAGAGCATCCTGGAGCACCACAAACCTGCTAGACACAGCCTCTGGGGAAGACACAGGGCACTTTCTTCAGTAACACCCAGGCTCTACCTTCTCAAAGACAGCCACTGAGGGAGATGAGACAGAGACTAAGTGAGCAAGGGACTTCTGGGTTTTCAGAGCCCTCTCTTTCATGCCACGTGGAATATAGGAGGTACTTGCAAGTGACAATCGTTTAACATCTGTCTCTTGCCAGCCAGTAAGCTGCGGAGGTTGGCTGGTGTGTCATCCATTCACAAATCCGGTTTCAGTGCCCCCTTGTTCTAGACGACATGTCAAGCGCTGAGGTCTACCGCAGTGAGAGACAGACAAGATACGCGGAGGGACAGGGATAACAAGGAGCATGACACCCATGGTGCCAATGAGGGAACTGTAGCAGGGCAGGAAAACCCAGAGTGGCTCCTGGGGAGGAATGCTTTAGACGAAGAGGCCCCTGAAGACTTCGAGCAGCCTCAATGGGCCAGGGAAGGGACAAGGGCCAAGGCCCCTGAGGAGAGGAAGAACGGGGTTGGGCCAGGCAGCCGAGGTCAGAGGCCTGAAGCCCAGGTCTGAGGGCAGTGCTACGCATTGGGCTCCGTAGGCTGGGACAGGGACTGCCGATTTGTTTCTAGGTGAAACAATTGGAACGTTTTAAACTACAGATGGCTGCATGGGGGACTCCAGCGTCAGAAATGCCTTCCGATGCTTAGGCCAGGCCTGCGGGGGAGGGGTGCGTTTGGAAGGCATGCAAGGAAAGGGAGGGTGGGTATAAGTGAATGAATGAAAGAACGAACCACCGCAGACGGATGAATGGACACGGGGCCAGAAATAACAGCCGGCCCACGGGGACACCCGACCCACAGACCTAAAGCCCCGCTCCCAGGCCCAGGCACCACGCGCTGTGACCTTGGAGACATCCACGCCCCGGGCTCAGGGCGCGGAACTCTGCGTCTCAGGGGCGGGGAGGACGTGCAGGGAGGGACAGCGCGCGCGGCGGGAGGACTGATGGTCTGAGGGGCTGACGGCGGGTGCTCCGGGCTAGGAGCTCACCCGCATCCGCCTGGTCAGGCCCAGCGCGGCCCGAACCGCACCGCTCGCCTTGTTGACACTCAGCCCGAGCCCG